TTTTTGGGGCTTAGTTTGTCCGTATTCAGCCACGAATATTCCGAGCATATTTTGCCAGCGCATTCTGTTGTATTCCAGCGTATTTGATGAATGCATATTCCGTCCCATTCGTATTCGCGAGTATTGTTGTGCAGGGCATATTTCGCCGCCTGACGTATTTCCGCCGTAATAGTATAACGACGTATTACGGGTGTATTCGTGTCCATGCATATTCTACGGTCGCCATATTGTTACGAATTTCAACCCGACCCCACCGCCGCCGCACATTGCAGCTGCATTCTCTTTGTATTCGCGCTCTGCCGATATTCGATCGTATATAAGAGGGTCAGATTCTAACATATTGTATCGTATTCCGTGTGTATGAAGACACCGCACTATGACAGCATATTCAGACGCATTGTAACGTATTCAAACGTATTCGCGTTTTGTGCGATTCAACCAGATTCAAGCGTATTCAACGCTATTATCTGGTATTTCAGATGTTGGCCACGATGAAGCGGACCTTGTCCGCGTTGGTCTTTGCCTCGGCCGGGAACTCGACGTCGGCCAGCCCCTTCAGGATGTCGCCGACGCCGCGCTTCTTGCGGATCTTCTCGGCCAGTTTCTCCTTCTGGGGCTCCGTCATCTTCTTGGCCGACTCGAAGGTCTCGTCGACAAAGGCAAAGAGCGGGCCGACGGAGTCCGCGGTGAACTCCGGGACCTCGTCTTCGTCGTCCTCGTCCTCGTCGTCCGGGCCTGCGAGGGCAGGGAAAGAGGCTCACAAGAGAGTGTGTGGAGTGGGCTACAGCTATCACCTCGCCGTACTCGATGGCGCTTGGCAGTGTTGGGTTCTCGTGCTCGTTGTCGTCGTGGGCCGCGACCACAAACTTGTCGACGCCTCCCTCCGAGATCTTGTAGAGGCGGAAGATGTTGGGACGTCGCAGGTGCGTGCTCCGGTTGTGCTGCATCCGCGCTGCCGCGAGACGACGATGGCACCATGGTTCCAGCTTTGCATGCTGCCAACGGTTCAAGCGTGCAAGGAGCACATAGCAAAGGACACTGATGGCGGTGGCAACCCCAACGCAGAGTGGCGCCGAAAGCCGGGCGGCGACGCCGGTCGCATCACGTATGTGTGCGAGGCGCACACGAACTGCACTGTGCTGCGCCGGATCATGCAGAAGTCTGGTGGCGCCATCGTGTGCGGCACCACCGGTGTCGAGCACGCCGCTGAGCCGAAGCTCTTCGACCGCCCCAATGCCTGGCTTACTAAGGAGCAGAAGGCGCTCGCCCTCCAAGGGATGCGGTGGGGAGCCGCTCCAGCTGACGTGCGGCTGGCAGCTAACCAGGCTGCCGTTGCTGGTGGAGCCAAGATCCTCGACGAGGGCGGCGTCGAAGGTGCAGCCAGCCCCAATCACCTCACGCTCCCGCTCCCGCCCCCACATATGTTGCACTTATTGCAACGTATTTTGATACATTTGGCTCGCAAACGCAAGCATATTTAAACGTATTCGCGTGTATTCCAAGATATTAGAGTGTATTAATTAGGCGCATATTGCTATATATTGTGTAGTATATAATCGTATTCACGTGTATTCAGGCGTGACCGAGCTCAAGCGCTTCCAACAATTCAAGAGGAATGCGAGCCGAGGCAAAAAGACACGCCTCGCGGTCAACCACGAGTACACTTCCCGGGCGGACTTACTGAACTATGTCCAGAGCCATGCCCTGCCAGCCACTGTCGGCGAAATGGTTCCAGCCAAGTTGTACGCCGTGGACAAGGTCACGCAGTACTGGACCAGGTTCCCGGATGTGCTAGGGTGCTGCCTAATCATGAAACGGTCAGTGGAGTGGCTTGGGCAGCTCATTGAGCTCGGGCATGGCTGGGCGCTGCACGGGGACTCGAAGCATAAATTGCACCACGGCCGGTGGGTGCTCACAACCTTTGGCACGCACTGCCTGGCGTGGGACGACGACGCCAAGCTCTGGCGGCACTCGTTCAGGCCGTTGATCTACATGTTTGTGCGAGAAAACGAATCACAATCAGCGGTGTGGATGGCAATGTTGTGCCTGCAGCTGGTGTCAGACCACTTTTTTGGAAAGCCCGTCCGCTCGGCTGTCAATATCACCGACCACTCAGACGGGCTGCGCTCTGGCATGCAAATGCTCAATGTCGACCCGGCTGTTGAGCACGTGGAGACGACGCCACACCTTTCCGACTGGTCTCACATTTCATGGCACTACACGCACGGCAAGATCCTGTCCAAGTCCCATCCGCACCACGGCGAGGTCTACGTTCTCCTGCGCGCACTCCACCTGACGCACACCGTGGAGATGAAAAATTTGCTGCAGGCGACGTATTTCACTAAATTTGCAAGTATTCATTAGCATTTCGTCGTATTATTAGCTGTGCTGGCCATTATGTATTATTCTGTATTAATCATAATTAGCTTGTATTCCAATGTATTTCTTGTGTATTCATTAGCCCCTATCTCACGCACGGACAAGGCCTTGATTCACATCTATCACTGTGTATTGCAACGGTATTCTTGCGTATTCAACTGTATTAGCGCGTATTGATAACTTTGATGATTTACACGTATTCCAATGTATACGTTAGTATTGAACTATATTCCCGTACATTCCTCGGTTTGCTACCTGTAGGCCGAGGTCATCAAACTGCTCGACGAATTTGTCGCGGACATGGACTCAGATGGGGTGGAGGAGCCAGGCAAGTACACCATCGCCACCCTCAAGGCGTCACATCTGACACCACCGTGGGACACCTTCTCGATTGGCGTGTGCGACCACCTCGAGCTGCCCTGCATCCTGCCCTCGCAGCAGTGCCAGGAGGCGTGGCACAGGACCATAACGCGAACCTTCAAGGGACACATGCGCGGCGCGACCGATTATGTGCTCGACGAGATGTTGCCCACGCTGCTGTTCCGCGACTCTGAGGTGCCGCTGCAGCTGACCCTTCGCCCCGAGGGCCACATCTCCCCGTGGATGGTCCGCAAGGCACTCGACTACATTGGCGAGGGCACGAAGATGATGATCAAGGACGACGTCATCTACGTGCTCCGCTTCAAGAGCAAGTACAAGAAGATAACCAAGCAGGCCATAAATAACTATAAGGCCGTGTTCTCCGGCGCTCTTCCCGATAAGGACAAGGACTACAAGAAAGCCAGCAGCCAAAAGGTTCATTAGTTTATGCATTAGTTCATGCATTAATGTGTATTCATATGTATTGCTATGTATCTGCACTATATTAGCTGTATTCCGCGTTAGTGTAGTCCTTCTTTATTATACGGTATTCGCATGTATTACACTTTATTCATTAGTATTATGCTTATTACGCAGGAGCGCGTGGCTGCCATTGTCTCGGTGTGCCAGAGCATGCACTCTGTCTGGTCGGCCAAGAACAAGGATGCGTACCGCTTCGATCTGAACCCGGCTGCACTGGCATGCACGTGCAAGGGCTTCCGCATGACCTCCATTTGCTCGCACGTGCTTGCGGGGACGGTGTTGCTGCAGAACGAGCTTGACACCGAGGGGACGTACGGCAGACCTTTCCTGGAGAGCTTGGTGGAGAAGCTGGTGACGACTAAGCGTGGCGCGCACCGGCCAGCTCAGCCAGCAGGTGGCTTGCAGGTGCAGCCCCCCGGCGACTCCGAGGAGGAGGACACCTCTGAGGCGGAGGAGGGACCTGACTTGGACGCCGTCTAGGGCCCCCCGGGGGGGGGGGGGGACTTGCGGCCACAAGTCATTCCTGTTGTATTGACACGTATTTGTAAATATTATTAAGTATTTTTGTCGGCATGAAATAAGTTACGAAGGTCGCAAATACCTTCTGAACCAAATCACATTAATAGGTGTGAATACACAGAAATATGCAACTCCGCGTAATACAAAGAATATGTGATGTCAAAAAATACGCTGGTAATGTGCAGCGACTGCTGAATACAGCTGTATACAGACGAATATGGACCGCAGGCACATGATATGGTTGAATAAACTAAAATACAACATGATGATGAATATGCGCGAACGTGAATATGATAGCACTAAAATCGTTAATAATAACAAGTGAATATGCCTTTGTAGGAATATGTCTTGAATAAAAATTTATACAAATATTTGCTTACAAATACACTTAAATACACATTAAATATGCTTGGGCAAAAACGAGACCAAATCCGGGCAAAATGGAGACTTAACCCCAGTAATTACTGCAAACACGACGATGTACAAGCAGTTTGGGTTCGGTCTGCTTGAAGTGAAGGAGGAGCGCTTTGAGGTGACCGAGGGTGCTGGCGCAGCCTGGCAACGCTTCAATTTCACGATTCCAGCCTAGGCTTGGAGTCAATGCGATGGCCGTTTGCTGCTGGGCTTGCTAACCGGGGAGTCTGCTCTCTGCCGCTTGCGCTCACTCGGGTGTCTGCTCAGTGATAGAGCCATGTGATGGCGTCATGTAGACCGATCGACTGACCATCCTTGCATGCGCGGGGTCCCTGGCGGCCAGTTGTCAAGGATACTCTTGTGGCTTTAGCGGCAACTTCTCTGTTCTGTTCTGTTCCTTTGTCCCATGTTCGTGGGTGCTTGCAAACTTGTGGGGCCCTGAGGGAGGATGTGTAGAGGATGTGTAAACTGTAGAGCGCTGAGAGCTGTAGACAAGATAGGATGTTCGAGCGCTGGAGTGTGGAGAGCGCTGTAGAGCTGTCGGTAGAGCTCGTCTAAACTAACGTATACGCATCCGGCGCGCGGTGGACGGGGACTGCGTGTGCTACAGCACTCAGCAGTCAGCACGTGTTTCTTTTCGTGCCGACTTTTGGGGTTGCGAGTTGCAGTTCCTGGGCTTGGGCCTTCGCGCGAAAATCGGGCCTGCTCTCACGCATCGATATACGGCTTCACGCGGCACATAGAGCCGTAACACTAGGACCTGGCGCATACATGCGGCTCTACACGCTCTATGCATGATGCGGAGTCGCGCATTCCAACCCCCAGAGAACTCACGTGACCCAACGTCAGTACAGCGCAATACCCGGCTCGTGCGAGCCGTGCGCAACCTCCCTCCTCGCGTCCCAATAGCCCGGGAACTCCTCGCTGCTGCGCAACTCCTCAAAGTACCGTAGTGCGAGGCGGTCGAGCGCCGCCGCCTGGCTTGCATGCAGCGCTCCACTCGCGTGGCTCTGCGCACCCTCTGCATCGGCCGCTCTCGGCGTCGTCTCGTCGGCGAGGCGGCGGTACGTGGCGGCCGTGGCGTCGGCCGGGTGGCCTCGAAAGACGAGCCAGCCTACAGGGGGGCAGAGAGAGGCCCGGGTGAGGGCTTCGTTCGAGGCGGTCGAGTGGCCGCGGAGGAGGCGAGCCGACCCTCGCATGCCTGGCGCCGCTCCCCCGTCTGCCAGTGCAGCAGTGAGAGGTTGAAACGATACTCGGCCTGCGAGGGGGGGGGGGGGGGTCGATGGAGGCGAGGCGAGGCGAGGCGAGGCGAGGCGAGGCGAGGCGAGGCGAGGCGAGGCGGAGCCTCGTCCGGTGCGAGCTCGACGGCACGCAGCAGAGCCGCCTCCGCCTCTGCGAGCAACGATGCGCACACGAGCAAGCAACCGCGGTTGTTGTACCAGCGCGCCGCGGTGCGCGGTGGCACGGCCACGCCGTCCTCGTCCGCGGGCGGCGCTGGTGGCAGCAAGCGGAGCGCTTCGGCGGGCCGCTCCAAGCAGAGCAGCGCGTCCGCCTGCAGGAGGATCAGCTCCCCATATCTCCCCATATCTCCCCATATCCCCCCATATCCCCCCATATCCCCCCATATCCCCGCCTGCAGGAGGATCAGCTCCGCCCGGCCGACCGTCCCGACTTGGGCGAGCAGCCCGATCGCCTCCTCGAAACGGCCGTCGCGCACGAGCGCCGCCGCCGCCTGGCCGACCGCCTCGGAGAAGGTCACTCCGAGCGCCGCCAGCGCCTCGTGGCCGCCGCCGCCGGCGAGCACGACGTCGCGCAGCGCCTCGGACGCCTCCGCCCAACGGTCCTCGAGCAGGAGCGCGCGCGCGCGCACGTACGCGACCCCGATGCGTGAGGCGGCCGGTCCCGCGCCCAGCCTGCACGCCGCGAGGCCGGCGGACGGGCAAGGCGACACTGCAATCAGGTCGCACGAGCCCGCGCCGCCGCCGCCGCCGCCGCCGCCGCCGCCGCCGCCGCCGCCGCTACTCGCGCCGGCGCCGGAAGCCTCGCCCCGCGCCGCGGAGAGCAAACACTCGGCCATGTGGAGGGCCACGTCGCTCTGTCCGAGGTGGTCGTGGAGGGCGACCAAGTTGTGCAGGTCGTGCAGCGCCGCGAGGCGGCCCTCGCCTCCCTCGCCCGTGCCGTCGCCCCGCCGAAGGAGCAGCGACTCGTGCAGGGCGCGGAGCGCCGCCTCGGGCCGGCCGTCTGCGGGGGTTGAGACGGGCGCGTCGAGGCCGGCGTCCGATGTGCCAAGCCAAAGGGGGGGCGGAGGGAGGGGGGGGGAAGGGGGGGGGGGGGGTCACCCTTTGCGCGAAGCACCGCGAGCAAAGAGAGTGCACGCACACCGGCGGGCTGCGAGGCGCTGTAGCGGTCTAGGGCGGAGACGGCCACGGCCAGCCGCCTACACGGCGCCATGGACGAGAACAAGTCGTGGACGTGTCGTCGGCGCGCGAGCGCCACAGCGAGAGAGGTGCTGAAGCCACCCCGAGAGCAGCAGGAGGAGGGCGTGCAAACACCACCCTGCCTCGGCGAGCCGCACCTCATCCGCCGACCACACCGCCCGCTCACGCCGCCGCAGCGCGCCTCGCAGCCAGCCGATGGCACGCGCCGCGCCTAAGTCTCGAGCGATCTCGCGCGATCTCGGGTCTTCTCGGGTCCTCTCGGGTCCTCTCGCACGACCCCTCGCGCCGCGCCGTCGCAAGCGGCCGCGAGGCTGTGCGGTGGGCGCGTGTCGGCGGCGTGCGCGTTCGCGGCGGCGGGCGTCGCGGCGGCACGGCAGGAGCAGTCAACCGAGGAGGCCCACTCGGCGAGCGCCCGCAAGTGCTGCGTCGCTGCTACTTCCAGCGGGTGCGCCGCGAGGGATGCGGCCGTGCGCACGCCGCCTCCGCCTCCCCGCCGTGCCGCCGCCGAATACGCCGCAGCGCCGTGAGTCGCGTCGAGGAGGAGAAGGATGGAATGCCGATCGGCGTGGCTGCCGCCGGCGAGGATCAGCGCGGCGCTGAGGCAAGCGAGCCGCAGCGTGGCGCCCTCGCCGCCGACTGCTTCGCCGCCACCACCGCCTTCGACGTCTCCTCCGCCGCCCTCCTCACCACCCGCCCGCACGAGCTGCGTCGCCTCTGGATCCAAGCAAGACGAGTCCCCGGCAGCAGCGTCGCCGCGCCGCCCCGCTGGCGCCTCGCTCAGCATCGGGTCGTGCCGGGCGGCGAGGCCGTCCTACGCGAGTGGCCATGGTCACTGCCTCCTGCAGGACTCCCCCCCCCCCCCCCCCCCCGCCGCCGCCCCTTCTCCCCCCCGCCCCCCCAAACCACGTGGTCGCTGCGAGCCCGCGTCCACGAGGCAGTCCCCCCCCCCAGCCGTAGCTCGGTGTTGGAGCTCCCAGACTCTGAATCTCAGGTCGCACCTCGGGGCCTCTGTGCATCGCCATGTGTGCGTGCGCGCGTGCAGTGCATGTGCGGGGCGCGTCGTCGCACGTCATGAACACGGCACCGCGAGTCCTCTGTCTCACCCCCTCGGAATCTCAGGTGTATCTCGCCACGAAGATCACATCTCGGCGATCTCTCGGCGATCTCTCGGCGATCTCTCGGCGATCTCTCGGCTATACCTCGTCGAGCGAGAGCTCCCGACGCAGACCGCTGCCCAAGCCCCTCCCCTCCACCCACGCCACCTCCTCCACCACCTCCACCCGCAGCAGCACCTACAGCCGAGAGGCGGCGGGGGTGCAGCCAAGGTGTGCCCAAACCCCACCCCTCCAGCTACAGCAGCGCCCGCAGTGACGCGCAGAGGTCGTCGGACGCGTCCGCCTCGTCCGCCCGCAAGCCCGCTTCCGACCCCGACGGGCCTCGCTGTCGCTTCGGCGCTCGGCTTGCGCCCGCCCTCACGCCCACCTCTCGCTTGCTCAGCCGCAGCGCCGCCGCGGCAACCTCTCGCGCAAGGCTGAGCGCCAGAGCCGCTCCGCACAGGCGCCAGCACAAGAGCACGCACCCGTGCCCGCATTGCAGCAGCATCGACGCGGTTACGCCGGGGCAGGGCGAGGCGCACTGCTCACGCATCCGCCCGGCAACCTCGAACGCGCCCTGCTCGAGCAGCCGCCGCGAGCCCACGCCGCCCGCCCAGCCAAGCCCCCTCCAAGGAGCGGCGACGAGCGGGTCGTGGCTGCACCCGCCGCCGCCGCCTGTCGACTGGCTCGAGGCCTGGACCGCGCACAGGAGCGCATTGTGCGCGTGACAGAGCGCGGCCCAAGCGCTGCCCGCGTCGTTGAGACGGCCGAGCGCGGCGCTCGCCTCGACCGCGTGCGCCTCCGCCTCGGCCCAGCGGCCGCGCGAAGCGTCGCCCGCGCAGCAATAGCAGTGTATGGCATGGCGCAGCTGCGTCCCAGCGCGCGACGCCGATGCGGGGAGCGGCAGCTCGGAAAGCGCCATGGCATCCATCGGCAGGGTGCACATCGGTGGCGGCGGCGAGCCGGCGGGCCAGCTGGCGCGCCACTCGAGCTCACGGAACAGGGCCTCCCCGAGCGAGCTCGCGGCACCCGCGCCGCCTCGGGTGGCGGCGTCGGCGAGGAGCGCTAAAACGCCATTTTCGCGCGCCATTTTCTGGGAAAAGAATTTATGAGTGTGCCGGCCTCCCATCCCTCCGTGTGTGTGTGTACCTACCTACCTACTGTGTGTGTGTGTGTGTGTCTCCCATCCCTCCCTTGGGTTGTCTGTTTTCTTTCTTTCTTTTTTCCCATCCCTCCCTGGGTTGTCCGTTTTATTTCTTTCTTTCTCTCCTCCCAACCCTCCCTTGTTGGCGTCCTTTCTTTCTTTTCCGCCCTCGCACGGAAAGAAATCCGCGTGCCCAAGTGCTCCAACCGGCAAGAAGAAACTCGGCGGCCGAGGACAGGGTACGATCAGGGTGCTGCTATGAGCCGGGTGTGGACACTGAATGAAGGCGGCAGCGTCCGGGCGAGGAGCGCTTCTGACACACGAGATGAAGAGTGGTCCGAAGCTACACGCTCGTGCAACTCGTCGTCGTCGTACACTGTGAATATGCTCGCCGTCCACGGCAGTGTGCTGCGGGCCCTCTTCCTGCGCTCGCCGGTCACGTTTGCCATCCACTTCACCGCCCTGAACACGCGCGAAAGGCCAGCGCGGGGGACGCGACAGGCGCCGTCGCGCGCATCATACACGGTTGTGAGGAAAGCGTCTGGCTGCTTCCCACAGAGGCTCGGGCTGCCCATGCTCAACTGGAAGTAGAGGAGCGCGTCTTCGAGGCTGGTCTGCAGCTTGACGTACTGGATCGATCAGCTGACAGCTCCACCAGCTCCCACCACACCGCGTGTCGTGTCATGAAGCATGCATGATAGATAGACATAGAAAGCATGAACCATCGAAAGGTCTGATCTCCAAAAAGAGCTCTCGGACTGCCGCGCGCCCCGCCCCTTTTGCGCAGCAACACCTTAAACTTCATGGCCCTCCAAATTCGGGTCGGGGGTAAATTCGTGGCATTTACCTTCAGCGCTACCCCGCTTTTTACCCCCCACCGTGTTATCCCATAAGAGGGCTCCCGCGGCGATCAACACCGCAACTCCTTTTCTTCGATACTTAGCGCACTGCTCGGGCGAGAGCTCAAACACGTGCCGCGTCTCGTCTTCGCCGCCGGCTACGCGCACAGACACAGTACGCGGCAGCGCCGACACGTCAACCCGCGTGTACGTCAGCGACGGGTCCCGCACGCCGCACGGGCTATTGCAAGGGCGATTATATCTCGACCGGTGGTACCTGCACTCCCAAGAACGGCCCGAAAGAAGTGTGCCCTGATCAGGGTGCCGCAAATGCCGACTCAGGGTGTACGACCGGCATTTGCTGCGACATGAGGGACGGATCAACGGAATACTGCTCCGATGCCTCAGGGAGATGCCCAGAAGGGGCCGACTGCTTGTCAAGCACAATATGCCAGAGTGGCTATCTCGACAGGTCGTACGGTTATTGCAGTTGGGTGGGTGGCTTTGGTACATGTCAAGAGCTAAAGGCCATTCGAGAAAATTGTGGCACTGTCGGTGGTGGCGACGAAGAGTGTTATAGTGGGCAGTGCACATGCAACAAATGCGTCGGATCGAACGGCCTGATGTATCGGGGTGGGCCCTGTCGCGTGAACAGCCAGTGCCAAAACTCAGACTTTTGCAATGGATTTACCGCTGGCACGGTGTGCTCGGGGGCGTGCGAATATAAGCTTGCGAGTGGCGCGTCGTGCAACCAGGTTCGCTATGGGCACGACCAATGCCAATCCGGTTGGTGCTACTGTTGGTTTGGTTTTTGCAGTTGCACGTGATTGATGAGCTGAAGGGGAGGGTCGGAAGGGGGTTTGGGGGGCCCCTGCAGGTCTCCGCCCTCTTGTGCGATGTGCTTTTGGTACGTATGAGGCAATTCGTTTACTTTTCAAAGCACCCACTTTTTCCCTGTACGTTCTCGGCCTCGTATAGTAAAATCTGCTTCGTTGATTTCTTTTCACGGACACTCAATCTTGACCACACACGGTACGCGTAGCAAACACAGCACGCCGCATTGCCAATTTGGCTGAATTTGGCCGCAAACCAGCCTCAGACTCGGCTCAGATCCCGAAAAATTGATGATTCCACGGAGTTTCGTAATTTACCACTCCCTAGGAGAATCAAATAAGTGGTAAATACCACTAAGAATATTCGAGAATATAGGCCCTATTTGGAGCCATATTCTTGCCATATTCGAGAATATAGACCCTATTTTGGACAAGAATACGGAAAGAATACGCAAAAAGAATATAGATAGTACTCGGCGAGAAAAGCGTATAAAGGCCAATCTCGGGGCCGCGCCGATTTTTCTTTTAGTAGGTAGGTAGGTAGAAAGGTGAAGAACAGCCAGGCTCGGACTGGACACCAACGCGGTATGGGTGGATGGACGCAAGACAGATGATGTAAGAGGTGTCGAGAAGGGCTACCGTAGGCCACACACACTAGAGCATCGCTGGGGGTTCCCTGCCCTAAGTGGGAAGGATTGATTGATTGATGGGAAGGCGAAACACAGTCCGACCAACGACTGGGACACCAAGGAAGGATACCTGGAAACTCGAGAGTTGTCAGAATGGAGCAGGAAACCACGTTATTTTTTCGCAGGTTTTTAGCAGGTCGCGACGGTCGACACTGCTGTGTTCGCCGGCTCGCCTAGGGCAGGGGGCTTCCCGTGAGCGAGGCTTGTCTGGGAATGGCGAGCAGCGCCGAGCACCGCAGCATCTTCAAGCTTCAGGGCGGCACGGGCAAGCACGTCGATGGGGACGTTCTCGATCCGCTCCAGTGCCGCCCCTTCCAGGCTCTCGTGCAGCTCTCGCCGCCGCCCCGCGACCCGGGCGCCCAAGGCTCGCTCAAGGTGCTCCCTGGATTTCACGCGGCGTCGGCGCACTTTTTCGAGGTGTCCGGCCTCCCGCCGCCGGCCGGCGGCTTCACGCCGCTCACGGAGCACGATCACCCCGATCTCATCGATGAGGAGCTCTGGACGCCGGTGGCGCGGCTTCCCGCTCGGTGGCGCGATAAGCACTCCCGAGGCGAGCTCCCAGCGCCCTCGGCGGCGCCCTCGGCGCGCGGCCGCGCCGGCGTGGTCAAGGCCCTGCGCGGACTTGCCGCGGAGCTGCGCGCTCTCGAGGGGGCGCCGCTGCAGCCGGGAGACTACGTCATCTGGGACACGAGGCTGCCTCACACGACGGGCGATCCCGACGCGCTGTGCGGCCACGAGCGGCCACGGCAGGTCTTCTACTGCGCCTACACGCTCGCCGCGGAGTGCGTCGCCCTAGATGCGGGGGACGGACATGCCTGTGTTCCAAGCAGCACTCGCGAGCTGCCAAGCATGCATGCCTAGGGTGCCCACAGGACCCAAAAGAAATCACGCATGCGAGTGGCTCGACGGTGGCCCGTCGCTGTTGGCAGCCCGTGTGCTCCCGCGTCTTCACGCGGTGCTCCGAGCACACCGCCGCGGTGCCCGAGTCGCCGCGCTCGCGCCCCCGTCTCCAACCCCATGGACTTCCACCCTCACCCATGCCCCACCCACTCTCGCGGGTGTCTCACACTGGTGTGCGCACGGCACAGGTGCGTCGCCCTCTCCGCCGAGCAGCGCTCGTGCCGCGCGACGGGGCTCCATACGTCCTGGGCCCCGACCGCCCAGCGGCACGACGAAGCGACGGCGAGCTACGTGCCGGCGCCGCTGAGCGAGCTCGGGAGAGCGCTCTATGGGTACGGCGACGGGTGGGCAGGGCGTGGCGGGGCAGGAGGAGGGCGCGAGGCGAGGGCAGCGCGTCGGCGCGCGGAGCAGGCCCATCCGCAGGGGCTGGGGCGAGGCGGCGGCGGCGAGGGTGGCGGCGCGAGCGAGCGCGTCGGCGTGGACGAGGAGGGTGGGGCGGCGGGCTCGCTGCCGGAAGGGTGGAGGGCGGAGCTGCGGAAGGCGGCGAGCCGCTCGTACCACGTCTTTCACGGCCCGGGCGGCCTGCGCGCCGTCTCTGCCCCGGACGCGTGGCGGAAGCACCGGCTCTCGCAGCCGCTCGCGACGCGAGAGGGCGGCTCTGGCGGCGGCTCTGGCGGACATGTCCAGAACACGTCCACGACATGTCCCGGACATGTCCTGAAGGCGTGCCGGGCGGCTCTGGCGGCGGCTCTGGCGGCGGCGCCGAAGACGCTGCCGAGGCCGGCGGCGGCGGCGCGGGGTCGGTGCTTACCGCGGCGCACGTCTCTTTCTTTCTGCGCTTTGGGTATGTGGTGGTGGAGGGCGCGGTGCCCGAGGAGCTGACTGCGGCCATCGCGACCGACGTCCGGGAGCACTTGCTGCGCCGGCACGGGATTGACTTGGACGACGCTGTGCGCACCCTCACGCTGCCGCGGCTGCAGCGCGCCTTCTCCCCCGACGGATCAGGCATGCTGGAGGTGTACTGGCTGCGCAGCATGGAGGAGGTGCGACAGCTGCCGGCGCTGCACGACGTCACTCGCACCCTCTTCGAGCGGTCGTGGGGCGCCGCAGCCCGAGGCTTCCGCCGCAGCCGCTCCTCAGGGATGGTGGCGCAGCCCGACCTTGGACTCTACATCGACCGCACATCGGTGCGGCTGCCGGCGGCGGCGTTGCAGCCTCTGCTCCGCCGAGACGGCCCCGTCGCGAGCGCCTCTGCCGCCTCCACCGGCTTCAAGATCCGAGTGCCTACGGGCGGCGCCGCCACTAACGGCGGCGGAAGAGGCCGGGACGGCGGCGGAAGAGGCCGGGGCGGCGACGTCTACTCAGTCAAGGCGCCGCCCCGGCGCTGCCCCTCCCCCCTCCTGCGCCTCGCCAGCGCGTTGCCCGCGGCCCCGCGCGTGCGTCCTGCAGATGCTGCTCGGCCACATATCTCCCCATATCTCCCCACATCTCCCGATATCTCCCGCAGATGCTGCTCGGCCACCGTGACGGGGCGCGCGGCGGCAAGGAGTACTTGGTGTCATGGCAAGGCTACCCGGGGGAGGACACGTGGGAGCCGGCCGAGCACATTCTCGACAAAGGCCGACCGCGCCGCCTAGCACTGCACCGGCCCACCCGCGCTGCTGGCCACCCGTTCCTCCGTCGCGGAACCGCAGGCGTGATCTCGGCCTACGACGCGCGGCGCGCCGGCGGTGGCGCTGCTGCTGCCCCCCTCTCGGGCGGCGCCCATGCCGCCGGCACGACGCGTGCCCCTCCTCTTGTGCGGCTGGAGCTGGCCCTCGATCCTCGCTCCGGACGAGTCGGCGCCTCGGTCCGCGCGGTGGCCCACAGCGCGGCGGCCACGCCGCGCAAGCGCAAGGCGGCCGAAGCTTGCGGGAGGCGCACGAGGCCGGCCGCGGATCAGCCGCCGCAGCCAGCCGCCGCAGCGCACGCCGTTTGGCCGTTTGAGCACGCGCCGCCGCCGGGGCCCGCTGCCAAGGTGCAGCAGGCCGCAGTCGCAACTGGCACCCTCGACTGGCGGCAGCCCGCGGTCGCGCTCCCGCCGCCGCTCCAGCCACCGCAGCAGTGGCAGTGGCCAAACCCGCAGCCGCAACCCCTCGCAGTGGTTGTCGCCACGCCAATCAGCCTGCCCTTCAGCCTGCCGACGGTGACCACGGACGGTGTTGCGGTGCTGCCCATTGGCCACGTGATTCCAGCGGGATGGCCCGCAAAGGCAGTCTAGCACGAGGCGAGGTTGGGCGCGCAGCGGGGGGGTCACGATGATGAGTTGTTGGGATCGCGTGAGCGCGTGCACGCGCGCGGTCGTTCGCGGATGGCTAATGGCTGCGGTTGTGTACTGTCAATGATTCTAAAGTATTCGCATGTGTGCGGTCTGTCTCTAGTTTCTGTCTTTGATTGATTATGATTTCAATTTTTTATGTTTTCTTTACTCATTTTTGCGCAGCGGCGCCGCCTGGCGCCCGCCCCGGCGGTGAACGAGCGGGGAGCGAGTGAACCGGCAACCGCCGGCGCGGGTACGGCAGGCGAGACGAGGAGGACGGAGGCGAGGGCAGAGACAGCGCCGCAGTCGACGGAGGCGACAACGATGGAGAAGGGGAGGGAACGACAACGCGCACAGAGGATGAGGATATAAACTGGGACGACGCAGCGGAGGGGATAGACGAGGGAATCGAGGGACCGGAGGGCTTTCGCGACAGCGACGATGACGACGAAGGCAAGGGGGGGAGACGGAGGGGCGACACGCAGGAGGAGCAAAATCGCGAACGGCCCGAGCAGAGAGGGCGACGGCGGAGCACGAGGGGGCAACGGAAACGCTACCAATGACGCGAACCGAGGCACGGGCGACGACGGGGACGGGCGGGAGGGCGACAGCGACGTCGAGGTTGACGCAACGGTATCGAGAGCGCCACCCAAAAGGATGCGGACAGCCATGGAGGGCACCGAATGGAGGGCGAACGGCACGATACGAAAAGGCAGGGCGAGGCGGATGGAGAAAGAAGTACCGAGGAGGCCATGGTGGAGGGGAGGGACGGGAGGACGAAAGAAGGGCGAGGAGGACGAGCGGCCCGCACAGGCCGCGAGCAGACAGCGCCTGCTGACCATCTCGAGACATTCGCAAAGAACGCTAGCTACATGGGAGGGCTTCGTGAAGGATGGATTGAAAAACATTCGAACAAAGAAGAGGCGACGGGAGGAACCGGCAGAGGATGCAGTGACGTGACACACACACACACACACACACACACACACACACACACACACACACACACACACACACACACACACACACACACACAACACACACACACACACTCACACACACACACACACACACACACACACACACACACACACACACACACACACACACACACACACACACCGCTCACCCACGCGCACCGGGCCTTGCACTTTAAATGCCGTGGGGCTCCTGTCGTTAGACGTGGAGATGCGAGGGTTGCCCCCCCTTGCCCCACCACCTCGTGTGTGTGGAGAAGTTTACCTTACCTTACCTTACCTTACCCCCCCGCAACCGACCGGGCGCCTGGCGGCTCCGCGGAGCTCCTTTGGCTCGGTTAGTTAGTTAGTTAGGAAGGTGAAGAACAGCCAGGCTCGGACTGGACACCAACGCGGTATGGGTGGACGCTAGATTGGCTCGGCGTGAAAATAAAAAGAAATTTGCGCTGCTAGCGGCTACCTCCCGCTCAGTACCTTTCACAAAGCATTGTCGGGATTTTCCAGACAATCGCTGGGCCCGGGGCGCGCGCCGCGCTGCCCGAAGACGTGCGAGAGCCTCATCGGCACAGCTGGACCATCTTCGTCGACCGGGGCGCCGCACCTCTCATTCGAGTGAGGCTGCCACACTCCTGGCGAAAATCGCCCGTGAGCCGGTTGGTGTGCCTCATCGCACAGCGTGAGGGCCTGCCGGCTTGGGACGTGCACCTGGCCAGCGCGAGAGGTCCTCTCCAGGCCCACAGAGCCCTGCTCTCCTGCGTCCTCTTTCGCGAGACGCTGTTCCTCCGCCGTGGGCCGCCCTCGTCCGACGAGGTTGGTATCGACGACGGCGCACGCACAACGCTTTGGGTGTTCGGGCGGCGTGTGTGCGGCCAGGTCTCGCCGCCAGTGCCGCAGCCGGGCCTGACTCTGCACGACGTGCGCTCGGTTGCGCTCGGTGCGGAGCATGTCCTCGTCGTGACTCGCACCGGCCTCGCACTAGCCTGGGGCGGCAACAGCTGCGGTCAACTTGGCACTGGCGACGAGAAGCCTCGCGGCTGGCCAACGAGCCTCCACCTGCTCGGCGCGGTCCGGTGCGCCAGTGCGGCGTGCGGCCCGCGCTGTTCCGCCGTCATCACTCTCGACGAGCGGCTCTGGACGTGGGGAGAGCACCAACCGGCGAGCGCACCGGCCCTTCTCCACACCTCGTGGGTCAACCGACACGGCGCCACCGATTGCGGCCTGCACGCAGCGCAGGTAGCCTTCGGAGGCACGTACGCTGCCTGCGATGCAACTGCCGCAGACGCGTGTTGTGAGACGTGAGCCCACGTCTAGGCGCGCACATGGTTCTGCTGACAAGCGGTGGCGCGGTCTGGACATGGGGTTACAACGAGTCGTCGTGCCTCGGCTGGCCGGCGGCCATGGTGCACGCGTCCTTGAGGCACGGATTCCAGAAGCCGCGCTGTCCAGTCGTCCTTCCTCAGGTGTGTGCTTCGTCGTGCGTCCTCAAGCGCCGCCGTGGGGGCGTGGGCGGTAAAAACGCTCCGGTCTGCTCTCAGGCGCTCTGCGTCGCGGCGGGAGCTGCGCACTCTGCGGCGCTTGTCGACGCCGGCGGCGGGCGGGGCGTCCCCTACCTCTGGGGCGACAACTCGTGTGGGCAGTGCGGTGTCGGCGGCGGCGGCTGCCTCCCTCTGCCGATGCCGCCGCCTGGGTTTGAAGCGGAGAGCGTTTCGCTCGTGCGCTGCGTCGGAGGCACGTCCGTGCTGGTGTGCCATTCTGGCCGCTGCTATCTGTTGGGCGGTGGCGCGCGCGTGGAGGCCGCCTCGAGCAGCGAGGAGGAGGGTGGCATCTCGGAGGGGGCGAGCAGCGCAGGGAGCGAGGGCGAGCAGGAGGCAGGTGGCGAGGGTGGCGACGGCGGCGGCGCGGGCGGCGGCGGCGGCGGCGGCGCGGGCGGCGGCGGAGAGGGCGACAGCGAGATTGGCATAGGCGACGGCGCCCGTGTGCCGCGGCTCGCGGGAGGGCTGCCTTCGGGGCTCGGTCTGAGGCGTCTCTTGGCGGAGAGGGTCCGTGATGTGGCGGCTTCCGAAGACCACGCGATTCTGCTCGACACCTTCGGGCGGGCGCATGGCTTGGGCTACAACCGCTACGGACAGAGCGCCCCGGTGCGGTGGCTCGAATCTCCGGACGGCGGCTCCACTGCCTCCGACTGACCGCGGTTCTCTCCGTTTTGCGTAGGGGTGCGGCCGGCTCCGCCTGAGCGCTCCGCGGCTCCTCGGCGCGACGTTTGGTGGGGAGAGGTTGCTGCAGGTGGCCGCTGGCGGCGGCGCGAGCGCCGTGCTGAGCGTCGGAGGTGCCTGCGAGTCCAGCGGTCGATTGGCCGGCTCTCACTCTTGACCGTCTAGCCGGTATCATAGGCGACAGCTTGCGTGCGCGTTGTGCCGCCGTACTGTTGTCGGCAATGCGGCCCGAGGAGGACGCCGACGTTGCCGACGTTGCCACCGGCGTTTGCGTCCAGCTCCTTCGGTGGAGTCTCGTGTGCACGGCACCGGGGCTCAGCGCGGTCGCAGCGCAATGCCTCCTCGTCGCCGGCCATCAGGGCGAGCAGGTTGCAGCGGAGTGGGCAGCGGCGGGTTTGCCGCCTCCGTTGTTGCTCGATGCTGTTCGTGCCGTCGAAGCCATGCGTGACGCGGAGTAGCGAGCGTACGCCGAGGGGCGAGAGGTGGGAGCGAGAGCGCGCGCCCGCAGGCCAGCGTTTTCCGTCTGCGGAAAGAAAGAAAGAAAACAGGCAACCCAAACGAGGCTCGAGGGATGGGGGAGCGGGAGGAGGCGACTGGGTCCACACCTGCACGAGCTCGAGCAGCGTCTGATAAGGAGCTAGCGGTGATTTCTTCGGTTGCGGAGGCGACGACACATATGGCTACCATCATCGTCAATCACGTCCATTGCGCCGCCCGATGCAGACTGTTGCGCTGCCCCCTGATCGCTGATGCTCGACGCTTGCTCCCACAAGTCGGCCACGATGACATCGGCCACGCCGACTCGGAGGCCGCACCGGTCAGGCGCGCAGCCGGAGAGAGAGGGAGGCGCTTCTAGTGAGATTTCTCTTTGTGAGCCTGTGTGTGTGCCAGTCCGCGCCAGTCCGCGCCCTTGTCGTGCCAGTGTGCTGTGAGAGAGGCTTGTATGTGAATTCTTTTGTGTCGCGACAGGGTGTTTGCACAAGACTCGATCGCCCTCGACAGTCTTGGCGGGGACTCGATCGCGATGGCGGAACATAAGGTCGCTCTCATCACTGGCATCACTGGGCAGGACGGGTCCTACCTTGCGGAGCTGCTGCTCAAAAAGGGGTATGCGGTGCACGGCGTCATCCGCCGCTCATCCTCCTTCAACACCCGCCGGATCGAGGACCTGTACGAAGACCCGCATGTGGACACGCGCATGCTGTACCTGCACTACGGCGACCTGACCGACTCGACCAACTGCTTCGAGATTGTCTCCTCCGTGAGGCCCGACGAGTTGTACAACCTCGGCGCCCAGTCGCACGTCAAAGTCTCGTTCGAGATGTCAGAGTACACGGCTGACACAGACGGTCTCGGCACGCTGCGGCTGCTCAACGCGATCCGCTCGTCGGGCCTCGCCGGGAAGACGCGCTTCTACCAGGCGTCCACCTCGGAGCTCTACGGCCTCGTGCAGGAGGCGCGCCGCCGCCGCCGAGCCGCGGGGCTGTCGGCCTCTCTGTCGGCCTCTCTGTCGGCCTCTCTGTCGGCCTCCCTCCGCCCTCCTCCATCCACCGACCTCGCCCACCACCCCCGCCGCCTCCGCCGCCTCCGCCGCATCACCGCTGCCCCCGCCGCCGCCCGCCTCCCACCTCGCCAGCGTGTGGAGAGACGAAGTTCGCCATTCCAGACCCGAGTGGCGATGCACCTGATAATAAAATAATAAAATAATTAAATAATTAAATACGACAGGTTCCCCAGCGGGAGACGACGCCCTTCTACCCGCGCTCGCCGTACGCCGCGGCCAAGCTGTACGCGTACTGGATCGTGGCGCGCCGGGGCGCCGGCTGCGTGGCTGGCTGCCGTCCCCGCGCCCCTCACGGGCTTCACTCTGCCGACCGCGTAGGTCAACTACCGCGAGGCGTCCCATATCTCCCCATATCTCCCCATATCTCCCCATATCTCCGTAGGTCAACTACCGCGAGGCGTACGGGATGCACGCGAGCAACGGCGCGATGAGCCCGCGCCCCTCTCCCACCACCCCAGCCGTCCACAGCCTGCAGCACGCGGCAACGCGTGTACCGCCAGCCCCCGCGAAGCCCATCCCGCCCCTTCCTCCCACACCCCCGCACACCCCCCGCCCCCGCCCAACGCGCTGCTGCAGGGATCCTGTTCAAGCACGAGTCTTATTGTCATGATTCATTACTGTTTATGATTGTTCTCATCAGGGATCCTGTTCAACCACGAGTCCCCACGGCGCGGGCCCACCTTTGTCACCCGAAAGGCGCGCCCCAGCCCCGTGCCACCGCCCTAGTCCTTGCTCACATCATGATCACCCGGAGAGCGCGCCCCAGTCCTGTGCCGGCCGCACGGATTGGGCTGCCCCCTTCGCCCCTGCGCGGAGTCGTGTTGGACCCCCCTGCAAGTGCCGACCGGCCCTCCCCTCCAGCGCGGCAGGTCACTCGCGCCGTGGCCAGGATTCACAAGGGGCTGCAGCAGACACTGTGCGTGAGAGGGGGCAGTCTCTCCCTCTCCCTCTCCCTCCCTCTCTCTCTCTCTCTCTCTCTCTCTCTCTCTCTCTCTCTCTCTCTCTCTCTCTCTCTCTCTCTCTCTCTCTCTCTCTCTCTCTCTCTCTCTCTCTCTCTCTCTCTCTCTCTCTCTCTCTCTCTCTCTCTCTCTCTCTCTCTCTCTCTCTCTCTCTCTCTCCAGCGGCGCGCGCGCTGCGGGCATGGCGCTTCTCCACACACCTCCCGCCGCGAGCAGGTACATGGGCAACATTGACGCGAAGCGCGACTGGGGCCACGCCCGCGACTACGTGCGCCCGCCGCCCGCTCGCGCCCCGACGGCGGTCGCTGCGCGCTCAGTCTCGCGCGAGCGCGCTGCGCCTTAGGTGGAGATGATGTGGATGATGATGCAAAAGGACGAGCCGGACGACTACGTCGTGGCGACGGGAGTGACAAACACGGCGGCCAGCCCCGCCTGGCACCCCTACTCCCGTCGTCATCACCACCACCCTCCACCTCGCCACCCTCCTCGCCCCCCCCCCCCGCCCCGCCCCGCCCCGCCCCGCCCTCCCTCTCCCGTGCCCCCCCTACCCCCCCTACGCCTCCTCCTCCAGCCCCTCCCCCTCCCCCCACCTCGCCCGCAGGTTCGCTACTTCATCGAGCTCGCCTTTGCGGCGGCCCCCGTGGGCATCACCATCGAGTGGCAGGGCGAGCGAGTCGGCGAGAGGAAGACCAGCCTGCCCGGAGCCCTCCCTCTGACCCTTCTCGGAACCTTCCTGTGTAGGCGAGGGCGTCGACGAGATCGGCGTCGACGCGGTGGGGATGCCTAGCCGCGGAAACAAACCTGCCCTGTGCACTCACACTTGCGGGCCACCGTCCCGCGCTGAGCACAGCGCGAACCACACGGGGCCCGTTCCACACTGTGCTCTCGAATGCGTGGCCACTCCGTACGAGGCAGCGCAGCGCAACACGCCACGCGCCATTCACCGTACTCCCCCCTCCTCCGTTTGATTGCGGCAGGCGGACAAGTCGCGCGTCCTGGTGCGGATCGACCCGAAGTACTTCCGGCCGACTGAGGTCGAGCTGCTGATCGGAGACCCGGCCAAGGCCAAGGAGAAGCTCGGCTGGGTGCCCAAGATCCCGATGCAGGAGCTCTGCAAAGAGATGGTTGCCTCCGACATCGCCCTCGTCGAGAAGGGCGACCTCACCTCGTGAGACCACCTTCCGTGCGCGCGAGATTGCATGTGAATCATCTAGGTGTAATGGGACGTACATCTCTCTCTTGTGTGACCGTCTGCTGCTACTGCTTTATCTCTTGGTCCCCCACTTGCTGCGCGTGGTGCCGAGTCCGAGTCGCGAGTCCGAGTGCCGACGGCCCGAGAGCGCGCGGCGCTCTCTGGCGGTCGTGACGGTGGTCGTCTCGCCAATTCTCGCAGCGACCTTCATGCCACCCCGCGGTCTTCTCACTCTCGTCGTTCTCTCTATATCAAGAGGTGTTTTCTTTTTTATGTGCCGAGGTGGCGAGGTGGACCCGACAGGATCCACCATGCTTCTGATCATGCCCGAGAGCTCCCCGCTTCTTGAAGAGCCACCGAGTTCTTGGGGTGGACGGCGACCACCGCCGGCTCCGACGGGGCGCCAACGCAAGGCGGCCCCTTGCGCCACCGCGGCCCCCCTTCTCGCGCGCTGCAGCTTGGGCGCCGCGGGGCAGCAGCTCCCGGGCCACCCGCTGCTGCTCGCTCTTTGCCCGCTGACATTCGCGCTGACCGGTTCGGCGTGGTCGCGAGTGCTGGCGACCCTCGGCGAGGCGGGCCTCTTCGACGCCCCCCTCCCCTCGAGCGACCACCTCCTGGATACGCTCGCCGCGCTCGAGATCGCCGACCTCTCCCCTCTTGAGGTGAGAGCGGGCGACCTTCTCCCGGTGGAGGGGACCGCCCCCCAAGCCGCCGTCGCGGCCCAGGCGGCAGTGCCGGCGCACCGCGCCGGGGGCGGGCGGGGCCGCGCCCCTGCGCGTCCTGCGCGAGCGGCGGTGCCTGCACGCGCGGCTCTGCACGCCGAGGCCGACCTCTTCTCGCACGTCACTGTGGGGCTTTTGGAGGACCCGGGCGCGACTCTTCCGTGGGGGCGCCTTGTCTCCATCTTGCGACTTCTCGGAGCCTGCCACCGGCAGGACGAGCGCAACCGGCCCGGCGGGGACGTCCGCGCAGCCGGTCGCCTCTTTCGCCAGGCCATCGCGGCGCGTTTCTCCCAGAGCATGGACAACTCTGTCCTTGCGCAACACATGGGAGAGTACCTGGATGAGCTCGGCGGCGGGCTGCCGGCGGCGCTGCGCGATGACCCCCTCACGCCCCGCCTCTGCCTCAACGCCCTGCGCGACGCACTCGTCTACCGCGAGGGCGGGGAAGAGGCGCGGCGCGTCGAAGAGCGCCGCTACCGCCATGCGGCCCCGCTGGCCCCGTACCTCTTCAAGCATTTCCTCTCCCCACTGCCTTCGGGGGAGGAGGCGCTCGAGAGAGTCAGCAACCTCACCGCCCTCCTCCTGCCAGGGGGCGGATCCGGCAGGTCTCGCGTCCCCTTCCACGTGTCCGCCGCGCGCGTCGAGCAGGCCCTGCTCCCGAAGCTGGCCCTGCTGGAGGCGCAGGCCCCCGGGTTGGGCGCCGAGGCGCGCCTCGCCGAGCTGCGGCGCCATCTCACTGCGACGGGCTCCGCGGGCGCCGGGGGGAGCGGGACCGGTGGCGCGGGACCGTCCTCCGGCTCGGGCGCCGCCGCCGCCGCTTTCGAGACCGAGCTCCTCACGCAGGAGTACATCGCCCTTCGCGAGGCGGCCGCTAACATGCGGACCGACAGCCGCGAGGACCGCTTTGCTGTCTACGACCTCGCCCTGCGGCCGGAGATCCACCTCCCTCGCCGCATCCTCACGAACGGGGACAAGGATTCGCCGCTTTGCCGGCGCGACACGACGCTGGCCGTGATCCTCTCGCTCTCCCCGTTCCTACCCGAGTGGTTTACGCTGGCGGTCGCCACGGAACCGGACGGCACCGTTCCGCGGGGCCTTGAGGACTGGAGCATCACGGGCGAGGCGGGCCGCGCCCCTGCGTTCCTCAAGTCCTTCCTCTCGGCCGACTGGGCCACAATGGACTGGTACGGCACGCCTACCACCCCCGGCCTGTGCTACTACCTGTCCTGCCGCCAGACCGCGATCTACATGCCGCCGAAGCCGGAAGACTGGTACTGCGTGCCGGTCACGCTCCGGAGGCTCGCCGACTTCGGCCAGCGCCTTTTCAGCGCGCTCGGGTACCCGGCTACCGTCGAGCACGGGCACTCGTTCCAATCCTTCATCCACCTCATCGTCTTCTACCTACCTATCTGTCTTGTGTGTGCCTTGCTGGGGGAGCAGACGGCTTCATCGCGAAGCTGCCCCCAGCAGGCGTCTTGACGGGTATCAAGAGCAGACGGCTTCATCGCGAAGCTGCCCCCAGCAGGCGTCTTGACGCCTATCAAAATTCTTCCCTACAAAAGAGGCCAACGGACCCGAGAACCGCCAAAAACTGCGAAAAATGCCGTCACGGCCAGCTCGGCACTATCTACTCAAAAAAAGTGACGTAGAGCACCCACTTTTTAAGCGTTCCGCGCACACACAAGGTCCGCCTGCGTGCACCGCCAGCTTCCCAGGGCCATCGCGCGAAAAACGACGGAGGAGGTGCATCCTAGCTGTCGCCACCGAAGGCGACTCGGCGCCGCTGAGATCGGAGATCAAGCTCTGACAGGTCACACGTCGCTCCTTTGACGCCGACGTGACTCATCCGTGCAGAGCGCATCATAACACAGTCTCGACGCGCTCGGCACGACGCCTGCGACCCGTCTCGGGTCAGGTGGCACGACGCTCATCGCGCCTGCCAGCGCTGCCGTGCAGGCTGCCACGACGAGGTCGAGCACGCTTCTATACGCTCGCCCAGCCTTCCTTTCCATCCCATTAGGCAGCCTGGGAACGGTGGCGGTCAGAGGCAAAGCCTACGAGGGGTGGTGGAACCACATGTCACGGCCACCGCCGGCTCGACGCGATGTCCGATGATAGCCTCCGAAGGCTGACTTTGAGGCACCATCATCGGACGATGTCGACCGAGTTGGGTCGCTCTCGCGGTAGCCAGGTAGCCCCCGTACTAGTATCACCAGCCATGGCCCCAGGGAGCGCGGGCGAGGGCGCTGGGAGCAACACGGACAAAAAAACATCAAAATTCATCATGGTCACACACCCACCCGTATTTGCAACTAGTCAATCTTGAGAGACACACACCAACCCCTTCCTTTTTCGCGTCTCCCTCTCTCTCGCGCGTCTCCCTCTCTCTCTCTCTCTAGTGTCTGCTAACATGGAGTACAAATCGATCAGCATGCGAATTCACACGTTTCAACGTACGTGGGGCGTGGGGTCCGCTAAAGCCGTAGCGCAAGGCGTTAGTTGGTCTTGGAGCTGCTTCCAAACGCTCGGTCAAGCGCACGGCCGACGTACTCGTACAAGGAGAATTGGAGGCCCACCTCGATAAACACGCGGCAGACACGCGGGCCTACGCCATTCATCAGCACGCGGAGACCGCCGGCACGCACGAGCTCGGCGGTGCAGTGGAAGGCGCTGCGGTAGCGTCCGCCATCAATGCCCATCATGTTCGCCTTGACTGTTCGAGTTCACAAGTTGGGTTAGAGTGCTGGGTGTGTCCGCGCCAGTGCTGGCGTCGCGTTGTACCCGTGTCGATGGGCTGCGTCGCGACCGCGGACACAGCGCCGGCGATGCCGCCGCACAGCATCGCTTGCCAGGTAGCGAGCGGGGGCGGAGGCGTGCCATCCGCGCCGGCCGGCCCCTGCGCCAGCCGCTTGAGCTGGCCAAAGCCGAGGAAGCGGATCGCGTTGGTGGCAGCCCCCTTGGTGACCGCCGGCCCCACGCCCTGGAAATATCCGGCGACACCTTCGGCGCGCCAGATGCAGGCCACGCAGTGCACCAACCTGATTGAGCAAGTGCAGGGGTTCAGAACTTCGCCGGGAAGCGTGCGCGGCGGACGGTGGCCCGCCACCCCTCGTATTGACGCGGCCCGCGCGGCGACTGGTCGTGGATCATCTTGATGGCGATCACTTGGTTGGGCGTCTGACACAAGGCCGCCTCGGCCATCCCCGCCGCGAACCCGTTGATGGTGTCGGCGGTCGGCGTGCCAAGCCGCTGATGCATCCCGCGTCGCTGCGACGCTGCCGTCAGCGTCTCAAAAGTCCCGAAGCGTACCGCGGAGCGCGGGCCGCCAAAGATCGCCCACGACAAGCCGCCGCGATACAGGCCAAGAACGCCACGCTCGCGAACAGTGGCCGCTGCGCAATGGAATGGGCTGCGAAATCGGTCCTTGCCGGCGAACAGCGCCGAAGCCTCCTGCTGGAGCTGCATCTGCGTCTTGATGTATTCGAATGGAAAGGTGACGGAGATCTCAAGCGTGCCCGCCACCCACCCGGCAGCGGTCGCGCTGGCGAGGCTGTTGGGCATATCTTGGTTTTTCCAAAAAGAAAAAACGTCCCGCCCCCGGGGAGGCAGCACCAGGCCAGGCTCAAGCACCAGGGCAGCCACGCGCTCCTTCCGCTTACGCCCGCGCCTCCTCGTACGACTTGCCATGCGCACCGTGACAAGCGAGGCGTCGGTGCGGCTGCCGCCAAATCCTGCCCGGGCGCTTTCTCCCGGTGCCGTGAGGCGCCAGCCCCCGAGTCGCAGGTGGGTATCACCGAGACGTGCACGCCGGGCCCCGGCTTCCGTGCCGCAACGAAGCAGCGCTACTCGGACTTCATCGTCAACGAGGTGCGGCTGAGTGGCGAGCCGGTCCATCTCGCATCGCTCCCAGCTGCCGTCGCCCAGAAGGCGGCCGAGGAGGAGGAGCTGCCGCCGCCGGCCGAAGCAGTGGAGGAGCTCGCCGAGCTGCTGGGCGAGGGCCCCGCCGCGGCGGTGCTGCGGCTGGATACGCACGAGCGCGATGCAGCACGGGCGCGCGTCGAGGCACGCGCTTGGAAGCGGCAAAAGGGAGGCGGTCGAGGCGGCGGCTCGGTACATGAAGCGGCGGCGGCAGGGCCAGCGGCGGCGACGGCAGGGCCGGCGGCGGCGACGGCAGGGCCGGCGGCGGCGACAGCAGGGCCGGCGGCGGCGACGGCAGGGCCGGCGGCGGCGGCGGCGGGGCCGGCGGCGGCGGCGGCGGGGCCGGCGGCGGCGGATCCTGTGGAGGCGGCAGCAGGGTCGGCGACGGCGGCGGCGGAGCCGGCGGTGGGAGAGGCGGGCCGCGCGACGGCGCCTAACGGCGAGGAGCTGCTGCGCGATGGCGTGCTGCTGTCTCGCGACGACGACAAGGTGCACCGCAAGGCGGTGCACGAGTGGATCAAGCGACACCTGCCGCGCCTCACGTCGACCACCGAGGAAGATGCCGACGGCGGGAAGTGCGTCCGAGTGCTCGCCAAGTCGGCCGAAGCGTCGGCGGGGACATCGCAGGACAGCGGGCGCGGCAAGGGCGGTGGTAAGGGCGGCAAGGGCGGCAAGGGCGGCAAGGGCGGCAAGGGCGGCGGCAAAGGCGGAAAGCGTCCGCGGCGCGACAACCGCATCGATTGGCCGCTCGAGGTCCGTGCTGCCGCGCCGGAGCCTGTCCGCCTCCCCCTCCTCCACCTCCCCCTGCTCCACCTCCCCCTCCTCCACCTCCCCCTCCTCCACCTCCCCCTCCTCCACCTCCCCCTCCTCCACCTCCCCCTCCTCCACCTCCCCCTCCTCCACCTCCCTCCCCTCGACGCGTCTGCCCCGCGCGGCGGCAGGCAGGCAGCCACCGGTACCTCGAGTTCACTCTGTACAAGGAGAACCGCGACACGCTGCACGCCATCCTCCAGCTCGCTCAGTCGCTGCACGTGTCGCAGAACCTCTTCACCTTCGCCGGCACCAAGGACCGACGCGCCGTCACCGCGCAGCGCGTCTCCGCCTTTCGGCTGCCCGCGTCAAAGATCGAGCAGCTCATGGCGCGAAAGCCGTTTGGTGACTCGCTCGTCGCCAGCGACTGCACGTATGCCCCGGCGCCCCTCCGCCTCGGCATGCTCGGCGGCAACCACTTCACAATCACGCTGCGCGACGTCGACGGCAGCGACGCCGCTGACGGCGGCGGCGATGCCGGCGGCGGCGATGCCGGCTGCGGCGATGCCGGCGGCGGCGATGCCGGCTGCGGCGATGCCGGCGGCGGCGTTGCCGGCGGCGGCGATGGCGCGCCGTCGCCTCTGGTGCCGAGCAACGTGCAGGCGGCATTGGAGGGCCTGCGGACACACGGCTTCCCAAACTACTTTGGGCTGCAGCGCTTCGGCGCCAACGTCGACGCTGCCACACATGAGGTGGGCGCCGCTCTGCTACGCGCCGACTACCCCCAGGCGCTGCGGCAGCTCGACGAGGGAGTGTGTCTAGGAAGTGTCTAGGAAGTGTCTAGGAAGCGTCCACGAAGTGTGTAGGCGCTGCGGCTGCTCCTCGCGCCGTCGCAGGACGACTCGGCAGAGGAGCTCGAGGCGCGGCGCATCTTCTGGAGCACGCAGGCGGCCCCCCTGCCCCTTCCCGGGGCCAGCGCGGGGGAGGGGCGCCCGCCTTGCCGAGGCGGCCTTGCGTCTCACTGGCCCCTCGTGCGTCACAGGACGCCGTCGCCGCGCTGCGCCTGCTGCCGCGGCGGCCGAGCGTAGCGCGGCAGCTTCTCGAAGGCTTGCGGGACAGCGGCTCGTCCAACGTGCTCGCGGCGCTCTCTCGGCTGCCGAAGAATCTGCGCTCGATGTATTTGCACGCGCTGCAGAGCTGGGTGTGGAACCACGCCGCGTCGGAGCGCTTGCGCCGCTACGGCTGCGAGGCGGCGGTCGAAGGCCTCCTCTGCTAGGCCGCGGGCCGGGCCGCACCGCCGCCCCGCCCGCGACGGCCCGCCGTGCAAGTATAGGCGACCTCGTGTTGCCACCCGATGCGGTGGCGGGCGGCGCGGCCACCGGAGCCGAGATCGAGGCGGTGGCGTGCGAGCTGGACGCGGGTGGCGGCGCCGCGTTGGCTGAGGAAGCGGCCGGCGGTGCCGACGGCGCCGAAGGTGCCGAGGGCAGTGACAGCGGCGTGGGCAAGGCGGCGAAGGGCGGCGACAGCGGGCCGCACGGCTTGCCTGAGCCGCACGTCGTGACTGCGGAGGAGGCGGCCGCACGCACCTACTCCATCGAGGATGTGGTGCGTGCTATACCCGTGTGTGTGGCCTGCCGTCGGGCGCTCTGCCACCTCTCCCTCGCCCGCTCGCCACCAGGTCTTGCCGCTGCCGGGGACCAAGGTGGTGATGCCGCAAAATGAGCTCGCCGAAGTGTACACCGAGCTGCTCGCCCGCCAGCGGCTCGAGCCCGCCTCCTTCCACCACAAGGTCAAGGAGATGGTGATGCCGGGCGCGTACCGGCGGCTGGTCCAGCGGCCGCGTGACCTCTCGTGGCAGTACTTTCGCTACACCGACCCGCGCGTGCCGCTCGCGCGCACCGATTTGGCCCGGCTGCGCGGCGATCCCGAGCCGCAGGGCGTCGCCGACGGGCCGCGCCTCGCAGTGGTGCTGCGCTTCACGCTGCCGCCGTCGACGTACGCGACGATGCTCCTCCGCGAGCTGACCAAGCAATCCACCGACCTCACGCATCAGCTGGAGCTCAACCAGCCGCACGTTGCGCCAACGAGCGCCGAACATGCAAAGGAGGAATGATTTCTGCCGCACGCGGGTGGATCTAGTTTGGTGTTCCTTTCGTTTCTAGCCTCCTGCTTGCGTGGGTAGGGCCGAGTCCTTGGCTTACGGGGCGTTGTGTAATGGTAGTAAAAACGATCAGGTGTTGGCATTTACATCATTTCTTCGCGTCTACTAACGTGTGGGTGCATTCGTGCACAAAGCAGATACCAGACCTCGGTTTCCCATAGGGTTTCTGCTCCGGTTTCCCATTGCGGTTTCGCATAGCCGAAAACCCAGGGGTCGGTCGGTTTCTGCGGTGCGCTCTGTTTTTTCTGGGATCTGTTTTCTGGGACACCCGCCTCGATTTCCCGCGGGATCTGCCCGTGGGTCTGGTTTCTGCGGTGTGAATACATCTCCCGCTTCGTCCTAATGAGCTCATTCCGGCCAATGAACAGGTGTACCCCCGTCCGTACCCGGGGGTATCGAGCACGAAATCACAGAGAGAAAGAACATTGCGCGTCACGCGATCTGTTATTCTGGGATCTGCTTTTTCGGTCCCCGATGGCGAGCTGGCTCGACGATCTCGGTCTCCACGAGCTCGAACACATCAAGGATGGCGCAAGTGCCTTCGCGCAGGAGCTCCACCCAATCAACTCGGCGGAGGATTTCATCAGCTTCGTGGTTGCGCTCAACCTCTACCCACCTGGGACGCCCTTACGCGCGGAGCGTATTGCTGGGGAGATGCCGGCAGGCCTTTCCGCTCCTGCGGTGCGGTATCTGCTAAAGAAGCTGCCCATTGTCGATCGGCTTGCCTCTCAGCTTCGCGACGACCCGAGCCGCAAGACCGTTCGGCTCGTGCCGGACGTAGAGCACTGCGTGGCGTGTGGCCTCGCTGGGGAGGCGGTACCCCTGGTGGTCAAGTGGGGTAGCAGGTGCTCATCTCCAACGGTCTATGCGGAGCACGGGCGACTGAAGGGCGAGCTCAATGGCCTCTCCTGCCCTCGGTGCTCCGCGTGGCACAGCATGTCGTACGCTGAGGGCGGCACGCGCATCCCAGCTGGCAAGCAGGTGCCCTACCCAGGGGCGACTGCATCCTCACGCCGCTGGGTCCAGCTTTCCCAGAGCACCGTGTTCGAGAATTCGCTGCTCGACAGGTTGTCGGCACAGATGGTGCATTCTCACACCGGCTTCGAGACCTTCTGTCACGAGTGGGCAATGCGGTGCGGCGTACCGCGTACGAGATGTGGAACCGTACGGTTTGTTGCCTCCGCGTCGACCGTCCGTCCATCCGTCACGTGTGGGCGAGGCGAAAACGTTCGCAATAGCGTTGCACGCATCAAAAAGTCTCAGAGCCGCTGTTGCATGGCCTAGACCACACATCCAGTAAGCTAAAAGTATGTAACACATCCAACAAATCCGTCAACACAAGTAAACGCGGCGGTCCGTCACATCCTACACGAAACTGGGCAGTCCAGAGGCAGAGACGCGTCCAGCATGGCCGGAAAGCGAAAGCGTGCCGTCGCCGACGACGGTGGCCGAGAGCCTCTCGACAATAACGAGCTGCTCGCTCGTGCGTACGATGTCGAGCCGAACCTCGAAGCCCGCTACTCGAAGCAAATTGTTGAGTGGGGTCGCAATGTGGCGACCATGGCCGGGGTGAGAGCGCCCGCTTCTGCGCATACTCTCTCACATACAACCGCTGCCCACTCGCCCGCACCACGCTTGAACGTCTACAACGCGACCACCCCTTGGCAGCCTCACCGCGGCGACCATCTGCCGTAGCAAAACTGCCTCGCGGCGTTCATGAGTCGACGGCTCCGCCCCTGCTGCAGGCCAACGTAGACTACTTGCTTGCGCTCCTACCGGCATTCAACCGCGCGGCATGTAAGCGCGTCAAGGTCCGCGTTTGGCACGATCCCGTCTCCGGGAGCGGCTGGTCGGAGTCCCTCAACGGAAGCAACCTGCTCGCCTCCGACTCTGGCCTCGGCAAGACCCCGATGCTGAACGCCCTGCGCCAGCAATGGGGCAAGTTCGAGGCGCTGGTCGGCGTGTCCACGGCGACCTCCAACGCGACTCCCGAGTCTCTTCTCCAGTTGTGCGCCAACTCGGAACACTCCGTGTTCGTGATCATGGACGAGAAGGGCAATAAGCTTTTCGAGCTGGCCGACGCATACAGTAAGGCACAGGGCGCAAACGCAAAGACCCTCCTCGAGCTCATGAGCGGCGTGCCTCAGAAGATCCAGCGTTCACCCGTGACGAAAAACGGACACACACCAAGCGCTAAGCGTGATGACGTGAGTTCGAATTCGGAGGTGCATCTGAGCAAAATTGGGCCCGCTCAAGATGTAAAAAAAATTATAAGGGTCAAGGTGCCGATTCGATCCAGAGGCCACTCGATCCTCGAGCGGCGGACGGCTCGGGTTGGCATCGTAGATGATGGACTGGAGATGGTGCCCACTCAACGTCCGATGATATAGCCAAAAATAATAAATAAAACCGAGGGAATTCACCACACACACCGACGCCCGAAGTGCCAAGAAGGACGTCACCAGTACGAAACCTCAGAAGGCCAGTGGCGTCGAGAGAACATTCCCTCGAGAGCAAAAAAAGAAAGCACAACCGAACCTCCTTCCCAGGTTACCCCCGCCAAATGCCGCCGTTCTCGGGGCATGCTATCCTGTGTAAGCAGGGCAGGTGGGGGAGGGGGGCACTCCCCCTGGTCTGATACTGGGGTGTGACTGTCTCTAGCGTCGGAGGCAAGGGCGAAGCTAAGAATATTTAATTTTTCAGAAGATCCAGCGCGGCGGGATCACTGGAGGACCCACGCCGCGAAGGGAGGGTGGCGGCCGAGCCCACAGAGCGAGAGAAACGCCCCTTATCCGTTAGGCCCTGAGGAGCCTCGCCGGCCGTTGCACTGCGAGCCCCCGCCGGGCTTCGCTGACGGTGACATCCTTGAGGACGGCGTCAAGGGTGACGATGAGGGCGATTCCAGCCTCTCCGCGGTCGCTGCGGCCCACGGTGTTTCTGCGGCCCTCGGTGGAGCCGCCTGGCCGTCACTCACCACCATGTGGGACGATGCGATTCTCTCATCGACTCATGCGTCGCAGGAGTTCACCCCCTCGGACCAGTTCGGTCTCTTCGGCCTCTCTGACGCGGATCTCCTTCTCGCGCATGACGAGGCTGTCGCCGGGCACCTCGGCGGGGCCAATTCGAGCAAGACGCACGCCGCGACTGGCGGCCCCTGAGGCACGCCATCTTTGACGCCGTCCCCGCTGCCGCCTTTGCGGCGCCGTGGCGCCCGGGCCGGTCCGCCGCCGTCGGGGAAGGCGGCTCAGTAGAGAGCTCCACCCCTCTGCCGGGGCTCGCCGGTCGTAGGACGGCGCCCCACCAGCGCCCGACCGGCGCACCCGCGCGGACAGGGAGAGCGATGCATGCACTGATGCCTTAGTTGGCGTCGCGTTAGGAGGAGGGATCGGGCGCGATGTGCGTGACCATAGCCGCTGCACCCTTGCGCGACGTAGTGTCGCCTGTGTGCAGTCGTGTGTCGAGATGCGCGAATCGTGCCTGCCCTATGTTCATGCCATGTGCTTGCCATGTCCATCCCATGTGTCGGCTGCGCCTAGCTGCGCCTTTAGGAACGACCATGCTCTAGAGAGCTCATAAACAGACAACGCAGTGCGCTTAGCATGTGCGCTGGCTTGGCGCGTGGTCTCTCTGTACACAGCAGGGCCGCCACTCACACCGTGAGCACGCTCACACACGTAGCACAGGCCGCGCTCACGGCACGGCACTGAATGCGAGGTAGCGTGGCAGTGACATGGACGACGACATGGGACGCCGCCCTCGGCGGAGATGACTACGATGCATTTAGGAACGGAGGATGCACTGCGGGCTGGCGGCAGCGATCATCGCCCACGGTCGCGGTGGCGCTCCACATGCGACTCTAAGCGATGGCGGCCTCCATCGGACACCAGCAAGCCGGCCTATTGGCGCTTCTTCTGCCGTGCAAGCACCTTGCGAGCGTCTTCGTATGGGCAGTACTCTCCAAGAGGCAGAGGCTTCTGCTCTGGCACGCAAAAGACCGGGGCCCACTTGCGGTCCGCCATGATGTATGCCTTATACTTCGAGAAGCTGCCTTCGGCAGCCTTCTTCACGAGGTTTTCCATTTGGGTTATGGCGAACGTGTCTGGCAGGCTTTCCGACGCGGCAAGGAGTTCGACGGCCAGAGCGGGTGATGCGCCATTGCCAACCACAAATCGGAAGAGTTCGAAGCGCTCGCGATTGTCGAGCCGCTTGGACCGTCCGAGGCGCTGCATGTCGTAGTCATGGCTGCGAGGGTCCTTCGACCAGGTCGTTGGCCAGAAGTGCAGGTCGCCAATGGCATTCTCAACGTCGGACAGGGCGTCGGCGTGCCAAACACCGAGTGCCTGGCGCTTGAGCAACTGAACGCTGGCCTGTTTTGCGTCAGTCTCACAGAGGAGCGACACTGTGCGCTGAGGCACCGTAGTGAGCCGCTTCTCGTCGCCGTTGAGAGGTGAAAGCAACGAGGGGCGCTCCATCGCACTCGATATCGCAGAAACCAGAACCAGAACGTTTCCTCCCCTAAGGGTTCCTCCCACCCAGAACATGCTGCTGTCTTAGTACTCCCGTTCGACCCATTCGGAATCCGATTAGTTAATGAGGGGTCATTCCGGCGGAATGACCCCTCCGGGAGATCGTTCACACCTCGAAAAACCAGAACCCAGAGCGTCTGGACCGATATTCCCATGGCCCGGATGTGATCTGTGGGATATGTCGAAAAAGCAGAATACAGAGCTCCTCCTCCTAGAAATCAGACGGTTTCTTGATAGCTGAAAGCCAGGGAAGAGCCTGGTATCTCAGTATGTTATATCCTATGATATAACATAGTGGGATCTGGTTTATCCACACCTCGGATATGGTCAGATATGGTCAGATATGGTCAGATATGGAGAGATACATCAAGATACCGCAAAAAAATCGTCCGCACTAGGGCTGGGGGGGCAGCGTGCCCAGTCCCCAGTCCCGTCTGTGCCTCTGTCTGTGTGCAATCTTTACCGGTATGGGAGTTTTTGGCTAATCAAACCCAAGGCCTGCACTAATCAAAAAGTGGTACGGGATACCAGTTGCCTCACGGAAATCAAAGCGAGTCGGAGTGCCTTCTTGGTGGCAAAATCGGCAAAATCGGCAAAATACCGGGTATTTTGCGGGTATACCTGAAAAAACCCGGGTATACCCGGGTAATACCCGCACTTTTGCATGGTTTCGCCCCCGGGACCACACCGACAGCCGCTACAACTACTGAAAACCCCGCATACCACTTTCGCATACCACTATACCATACCACTCCAAAACTAATCAAAATATCGCCAAATACCAGTCTCATACCGGTAAAGATTGCACACTGGCCTCTGTCAGTCCGGCACACCGTGGTCAGTGCATACAGCAGGATACGTAGGTGCGCCGGAGCGCGGAGGGCCGGCGGGAGGGGTGTCGGGGAGATGCGGAACGCCGAAACACCTATCAACTTTTAAATGTGTGACCCAGTAGAAAGGCGGTAAAGGAAGTTGTGTGACCTAGTAGAAAGGCGGTAAAGGTCACGCATTGAGCGAGCCGATGGCGAGAGGAAGGCGATGGCGAAACACTCGGGAGCGGCCGCGAGCAAGCAGCTGAGCCGTCCGTCGCCGGAGGAGGATGCGGTGTGCTCCGGCTGTCCCTCGTCGGTGAAGGGATCAGGCGCGTGGCGAGCAGGGCCATGTCCCCGCTCTCGCCCGGCAAGGCACTCGTTTCCAGTACTGCTGGATGTTACTCAGCCATCTGCAATATAATCATACCGTTGAGCCGCGCTTTGTCAAAATAGTTGCGGGAGAGGGGGCTCGTCATCGCGCCGTGCGAGGCGGCGCGGCCGACGAGTGCGAAGGCGCACGCGAAGCGGAGCAGGCCGGTCATCGCAGAGGTGGATCGTCGATCGCACGCCGATCGGGCGGACGGTTTGTAGGGAAGCGGTCATCCGCAACCGGCCCCAGAACTGGCCGTGACTCCATCACCACCAATCTCCGCTCCTCCATTGTCAGCCGTGCGAGGTGACCGCCCGCAGTGCATTGGCCTCGCACAGGGGACGATGGGCCCTGAAGGCGCGATCTGGAGTGCAGCATCGCCGAGGCTGCCGCACCGAGGGGGTCGTCGGCCGACGCGATGCTCTCGAGATCGGCGGGGCGCAGCATATACACACACGAACGTGTCGCAGCACGCACCGGCCGACCTAGACCGACCGATGGCTGCCTGCGAGAACTCGCGGCGGGCGCTGGCGAGGACCACTCCGCTTGATTTCTTTCTTGCACGGGAAAGTGGTTACACACCCTTCGGAGTCGCTCCTCATTGCAAACCCCGTCAGCAGCTCACCTTCGGGTAAAATAGAAAAACGCACTATTTTATCTGGGCTTCACTTCCTAGCATCCGAGAGAGAGATTTTTAAAGACCAACAAGAAATCACGACTCTCACAGTGATTTGGGCTCGGCAGCTTGTTAGCCCTCAGCCGAAGCTGGGGCCGGTCCCGTAGCCGAGAGAGCCCGCGCCGATGAGTTCGACGCGGTCGGGAGGGCCTGCGAAGAGGCCAGCGAGATGGCGATCGCTGTACTTCATGGGGGTCATCAAGTGACCGCGACTGACAAGCCAGAGGTCGATACTCTGGGCGACCCATCGGATGCCACGAATGCCTGAGGGAGAGGGAGGCGAGGCCAGAGGCAGGCTCAGCTGCTCTCGGGTGATCCCGCTTTGGAGGCTGAAGGACCCGATCTCTTCTTAGCATCCGTGAGGATACATTGGAGCGTACTAGGGTCCGTCTGGAGTCGTCGCGTGCCTCCACAAGGAAGAGCTACGCAGTACCTGACATCCCCTTGCTGGGGTCCTGCCACTAAAGGCGGTGGGTTGGGACTCGATCAGCTTGGACGACCACGGGCTCGGAGGCAATCCTCAACGACCCGTGGCCTGGCCGCGTCGCCGAAAGGGATCGCACCACAGACCAGAGAGAGGGAGGAGCTAACCATGCGGAGAGCCCTCAGAACGACCCCCTTATCCCAGGAGAGGGTGGGTGGGGAAAGCGAAGAACCGGCGCAGCCAGAGTGCTGGCGCGGTCGCAGAGCCTGGCGCGGCCACAGAGCTGGCACGGCGCCGGGCCAGGAAGAGCAGCGAGAGAGCTGCAGGAGCAGCACGCAAAGAGCGCGGCCACGAGGCACGCGGAACGTGCTTGGACGTACGTCGCGTCCTGAGTGTTCACGGAGAAAAATCCGTGAAGACTGGCAGGAGGGATGAAGACCCTTCATATGAGAAGACGCTCCTCAGTGAGTACCTGCGATAAAGTAGTAGCCTCACACGAGTTGGGGCCCCTACCCCAATCGTTGACGGCGAATACGGAACGAGGGTGGGGAAAGAACAGGGTGCTCACCTGCACGAGCAGGATCTTGGAAGCAGCGGGGAGCCCCCAGCGACAGCATATCATCAGTCTACTCCGAACACGACGCGGCCAAAGAGGCCAGCTCCATTTTTTTCGGCGAGTGCAAGTCACCGACGAGGAACGAACGCGACTTGGCAATCGATGGCAATGAAATCGACTCTGAGTGACTACTCCACTGCCTTCCACGACGTCGCGGAACCGTTCCTCACGTACCACGCCGTCAACGCGGACAAGAGTCTTTCGCGCACGGAGCTCTCGCGAGGGGACTTTTGGCTCGCCGCGAGGCGGGCGGCGGCGCGGCTGCGTGCTGCGGGCGTGGGCGAGGGTGATGCCGTGCTCCACTTCTTCTCTTCCAATACGGTTGGCGACGTGGTCTACCGTCTGGCGGCCGTCATGGTGCGGTGCGTGCCCGCGACGGTCAACTGGCAGGCCGACACGCCTGAGCGAGTGCTGCACAAGGCGTGACGGCTGCCTCCAATCCACACGCACGCACGCGCGCGCGCGCGCGCGCGCACACACACACACACACACACACACACACACACACACACACACACATGCGCGCGCGGCCCGTGACACGTGACATCGCTCCCGCCCTCTCTCTTTATACAGAAAGGCGCGCGGGG